CAGGAATTTTCTTAAGATTTTCTAAAATAGACAAGTGAATATGTAAATATATACATACACACATACATATATATATATATATATATATATATATATATATATATATGTGTGTGTTATATATGTTCCAAAAAAGTAGTGTGTTATGCAAATCTGTGTTATACGGGGCAAAGAACTAGTACAAATAGAGGGGTTATGTTCCACGAATTCAAAAAAACATGCTACATATCATGATATTATAATGAATATTGTTATATTAATTAATTTTTTTCAAGAAGTAATATACATTACATCAATTATGATTTTTTTCATCATAATTAAATGGTATGTGCTATCAAACACGATCCTTTTTTTGCAAGATATTCTCATCCTCTTATCAGTTTTCTGTACTACCTCCAGATCCGTGCATCATTTTTTTCAAATACAATTATATTTGCAATTAGGGGCCGTTCAAGTATTACATAAGCACTATAGGGGGGCGGGGGGGTTGTTGAATTGCTTATTTTGGGTTGACATGGGGGGGGCAGGGGAGCCTGGATGATGATTACGTCATAGGTAGTATTTTTATTTTTTTACATTAATTGCAAAATGTTCACATAAGAATGAATGTAGGGGTAAGAGTTTTGCTTACTTTTGCTGACAAGGGGGATGGGGGGGTAAATAATTGTAATAAAGCTGCTTACGTAATACTTGAACGATCCCTTACTTGCTTTTAGCAAAAGATATTTATATATTTACCACATGCAAAATTACCTGTATTAAAATTTTGTGCTCATTTTATTTAAAGGACTTGTGCTTAAGACTAATTGACTAATTGTTCGGATAAGGCTAGATTTTTTTTCTACAGAACGTACGCGCTCGAATAATAGGTTTCAAATTAGTTATGTTTTGAATTAGTTTCAACACATTTATTGAGCTATGGTACTGCGATTTTACTAATTTTAGAATAAAAAAAGTTTGATTTTCATATATTTTATTATAGTTTTTATTTTAGTAGGGTTCTGCTCAATTCTCAAACCTTGTTAGAGCAAACCTGTGCTTTAAAAGTACCTTGTTATAAGGGAGTATTGTGTTATGGGAGTGTTACCTGTATATATATACACATGTATGTATAATTTTATTTACCAACAATATGTAGCAAATCCTTTCGCACTGTAGGTTCTCCTCCTGTCAACCGTATTTTATCAACACCTTGTTCAACAAATAACTTTGCAATATACAATACTTCGTCTGTTGATAATAATTGGTCCTTAGCAGATAATTGAACGCCTTCGGCTGGCATGCAATATTTACCTAGTGATGAATAAACACACATCAGTAGACAAAAACTTTACAGATACTTTAAGTCATTCATTAATATCAGATTAAAAAAACTATACATATAAACACGACAAATATACAAAAATAAATTAAAATAATATTTTTGATTCTAGTATACAGAGTTTTGATATACAGGTATAAGTATACGAAAATATAGACAGTGTTAAATGATTTTCTGAATAAGTTATAAATAGAATATAATTACTAAATAAAATGTTTCTACTCACACCTTAGATTACATCTTTCAGTTAACGAGATCCTTAAATAATTGTGTCTTCTGTTAAAACTATCAACAAGAGGATCTAACCTTTTTGTACCAAAACGAACCTGAAAATTTGACATTTGACAGTTGTTATTATTGCAAAAAACAAACATGAAGTGCGAGCTAAATGCCAACTTCAGCATTTAAAAAAAGATTGATGGTCTCGAAATGTTTTTTTTATTTATCTATGGTCTCGAAATTATCGATATTTTATCAAAAATAGATATTGGAAAAATTGTCAAAATAAATAATTAATTAATTTTCAAAGGAGTAATAAATCAAAATCAGTGATTTTTATGCTTTTTATTATTAAATAATTGTGATAACCGTAAATTGTTTAGAAAATAGCTAATTTATAAACCATGTATTTTTGACACTTTGTATTTTTGATTTGAAAGTAATTCTCATAAAATTAAGTTAAAATTTTTAAATATTACTTAAACTTTTTAAATATACATGCAAAACTGCACATTTTAGAACAAATATATAAAAATGTTTAATTTAATTTACATATATGTGTATCCATATATTTTTATCTATTATATAAATACACCGCCAATCCAAGGTTCGGTTGCACAACAAAATTGTATATACAAATTCTTCATGCCAATAGTGTTAGAAAAAAATATTCATATGGCCTTAAAAAATATATATGAGTAAGTAAGACACATGTAAACATTGGAGTTGATTACATATGTTTAAATCCGCCTAGTTACAAAACTGAATCATAAAGTATTTTGAAATCGCTGTATGTATGACCTTTTGTGAAAAAATGCTAATAACTCAAATATCTTAATTGTCAATACATATTAATTACTACACGAAATAAAAACTTAAATAAAATTTTAATTTTTTAAAATGCAACTGATAATTTCATAATGTTTTCATAGGAAATATATTTAATTTATTGTCTGATTAATAAAAATTATTTACTTCATTTATCACTTATTTATACCAACCGTTACTTCATTTATCATGGTACTTACGCTTGTGGACAGATATCTCGTTATCATTTCAGGTTGCAAGTTATTAATAAAACTCAACGGTCTCAACATGTTTGATTAAATAAGAACTATTAATAATTTAGTATTATTTACATTGAACAAATTTAAAAATACGTCTACGTAGCGCACGTGTCGGTTTCTTCCGACAAACTGTATACATATTAACATTCGTGCATCTTGTGAATAACAGTGATAAGCGAAAGTTTCTACGAAAAAAACAGGTTCTATCATATTACGCATATCATTAGATACAAGGATATATTAATAATTCAACGATCGATGCCGTACAAAATATGTCCACTAGATGTCAACGATATTTTCGATATAACGATTTATATTTGTAACCAGACTAGTGGTGCATGGCATCGAGCCTTAAGGCAAATTGCTGGTACTTCTCGTAGGTACCGCTATTTGAAATTTTTCAAAGCCTTAAATATGAGATATTTGAGAATTTCGATTTTTTAAAAAATTACGTTCTTGAAAATTTTGTTTTTTTTTTAATTTTTTTTTTTGTATTAATTTTTTTTTATTATTAACTTGCCGTAGGGTAAGTTATAGTAATCGCAAAAAAATCTAAAATATTTTTTTTTATATATCTTTATGTTTCAAAGGTTTCTGAATATTTTGACATACTTTAAAAAAAATGGATGTATGTGTCTGCGGATACAAATTTCCGTCGACGATTTCGGGAACACGGATCAACCGATTTGAATAATTCAAAAAACATTCGATTTGTATTGATAAGGAGACGTGCTGATTAGTTTTTGACAAAGGCAGGTATATTTTTTTTAAAGCAATCGCGCTTCGGAGCTATTTTAGAATGAAACATCGAAGTCACCATGTAACGCAGTGGTTTCCAAACTTATTTGCACCGCGACCGCTTGCTTTAATAAAAAAATTATTGCGTCTCCCTTAATTTTTATAACAATTTAATTTTATAAATACTGAACCGATATTATGAAACTACAAATTAATATGCAATATTATGTAACAATATGCCTAAAAACTAATTATTTTTTGTTTATTTTTTAACATCAGTTCAAAATTTTTTGGGTTATTTTCGAAAATAGTATTCTAGAAACAGATGTAAGCGCCCCTCTGAGAGTGGCGCGCCCCACAGGTTGGAAACCACTGATCTAACGGTTAAGCATTGGTACGGAACACATAGAAATGTTTAATAAGCAAAATTTGTACTTATCAAAATCTTTATAAAATATCTGATAATTTAATGTGCATATGTCTAATGATCATTTTTGTCCGCTGAATGGCATGTTTTTACTTTTTTCATTGAATCTCCGAAATCGCTAGACCTGCCTTCTCAAAAATGTAATCAGCTTTTCATTTTGTCACTACAAATAAAATGCTTTACGAATCATTCAAATTGGACGCTATCTGTTATCTCAAAAATTGAAAAACCATTTTTGGTACTATTTGCCCCGTATCTTCGAAACTGCTGGACCTGCCTTTGCCAAAAGCTAATCAGAAAGTCTCCTCATCAATACGAATCGAATGTTTTTATAATTATCCAAATCGGTTGATCCGTGTTAACGAAATCGTCAACGAAAATTTGTTTCCGTACATACATGCAAGCACACACGCATACATACACATGCATCCATTTTTTATAAAGTTTGTCAAAATGTTCAGAAACTTTTGAAACGTAAAGATAAATAAAAAAAATTATCCTATGGGAAGTAATAAAGCCCCATTAAGACGATAATGTTTAATACGATTACTTTCAAACATGTTATTTCTATCTCGTATAATACGCATTCTCGCTTAAGAGGCATTTTTGGTTCGGTCCGGTACTATATAAGTAATATACATGCCATTATAAGAAATATGTTTATTCACATATGTACATTAAATGTAAAATTAGCACAAAATTACATTTGCTGAATAAATAATTGTATTACTATTTTGTAATCATATAACTAACAAATAAGTTTTGAATTTTAGGTAGAAATTTATCCTTTCTATAAATTCATAATGGTATGTATACGTATTTCTTATTCATTAAACTAGAAGAATTAATTTAATGGCAAAATTTTTAAATATAACTTACATAAAAGAAATTTAAGACCACATATTTTTACTTATTCTAATGGCTGAATATTTTTACTTATTCTAATATATAAAAATATATTTATATGAATTAACTTAAGGGTATGAATAATTTACCCGGATACGAGCACAGCACAATAAATTATTTTAAATATATGATGTCTAATTTCATTATATAAAAAGTCTGTGACCTAAACTACTCTGGTCAGCATCCATGCTTTATTTATTTTTAACGAAATAAAAAAAAATCGTTTATAAAACTATAATAATCAAGTTTTAGTCATATTATTCCCTTTAAGTGTGTAATAAGGGGATAATAGTCATACTTGATAATCTTATTCTGATCTCTTCCAAATATATTAAACACTAGTATTGCCCTGTTTCTCACTTTTACGTGCAATATTATTTTTCCGTTTTATCCTCTTATTATGCTTTCGTTTCAATTTTGCAATATAAACTACTATAAGAAGTAATACAACTCCTATGAGAGCCATAAAAACCCAAGGCAAATTACTGTTTGAATTAGTTTCACTATCTTTTACTTCTTCAGTAATATCGAGTTTCCTTTCAATTTTGGGACGTGATGTTGTCATATTTCTGGCATCATTTGTTGACAAATATTTTATTTCAATTGTTGTCGGAGTTTCTGTTGTTGTAGTAGGAGGAGGCGTTACTTGTTCGCTCATAGAATAATTAGCTAAATAGTCATCAAGTGGAGCATAAAATTTCGTTAAAGCTTCTGATTCAATGTCGTAAATATAAAACAAGTTCATCAAAAGGTCGCTCCATTCTTGTGTTAAGCCAGATCGCATTAATTCACTGTAACAGTTGTAAAATTTAAGTTAATACATAATATTTATGAAAGCAAATTTGTGTAAAAATGCGTATTCATACTTAAGTTTAGTATCTTGTGCGATATGTTTGTCAACGTCAACGCCTTCAGGAGCCTCTCCAATCAATTCAGCAAACAATTGAAAGGCCAATATCACTCCATAAAATTTCCTGTAAAAATAATAATTGAAACAACAAAGTTCATAAAAATTGTGAGTTATAGCATGATAAGTTTAACTTCAACTAAATCACATGTGATCGTTTCTGGTTACTTACGCTAAATATGGTTTATTTTCCAGTACATAAGGATCCCTATAAATTTCGCCTTCGTACGACTCGATCAAAGTGTACTCTTGTCTGATCTCTTTCCAAAGATTAATTTTTTCCTGGACATTATATTCTGAAATATCTTCAGCACTTTCATCTGGATCTAAGAGCCGAAGTCTCCAAGTGTCCACAGCAAGATAATACGGAATTTTAGGCAACGTTCTCAGAGCGTGGAGCAAAAGAATGACCAATTTATCTTGTTCATCATGAACCTTGATTAGAGAATCCAGATGGTGTGTATTTAGTGCCAGAAGAGAACCAAGAATGGGAACAGCTTCTATTGTACCTAAAAATTATTGAAAGCATTAAAATTTATATATTTCAATGATAAAATTTATGCCAAGTTATTTACCAGAATAACGACTGCCATATCTCAGCAGATACGAAGAATGGTACATTTCATCTCCAGAAACTTTTTTTTGCATCACGCTCATGAATGTTTCATGGGCGTCCAAAAAGTTTTGCCATGTCGCATTCTTACAAGTAATCACTCTATAAATAAAATGAAAATATAGCATATTGATTTATAATTATATCCATACTATGAAACTTACATTGTGTTACCGCTTTGACAAAAATCAATAATTTTGCTTGGACAACTTTTGTCAAATAAAGAATCTGTCCAGAATATTTTACTTGCTTTACCCAAATTCAAATTCACTGTCATGTTTTGTGCTAATTGATACATCGACCTTCCTCCTAAATCCTAACAATAATATTATGTTAATTATATAAAAAATAATAATAATATTTAAAATAATTATACCTTCTCACTAAACAGGTCAAAAAACCTTCTGTAGATGTAAGGATGAGGAAGCAGAAAATCGGCGTTTATACTCCAATCTAGACCATCCAATGAACCTTAAAGAAAGAACCATATAAGGTAAAATTGAAAAAAAAGTAAAGAAAATTTATTTAAATGTATACCTAATAAATAGCTGGGAGTAATATTGTATGTAACATCAAAACCATGATACACATTTAACCTATCTTTGATGAAACTGTGCAAACGTTCATATAAAGGTTTTATTTGCGACCACAGTTCATATGCTTTTTCGTATCCTCCTGGAATTTCGCATAAGCTCTCCCAATATTCACGTACACTTGACATTTCTGATTATTAAAAAAAAATCATATGAATATTTGGCAATATGTTTATTCATTATTATCTTACCATTCTTTTCAGATGCTTTCGTGACCAAATTCATATTTTCAAACAACCCATCCCAGTCATAACCACTTTCATTTTCATTCCATAAATCGAAAGATTCTTGAGCCTGTGTTAAATTCTCGTTATTGGCCAGAATAAGATTGATATCTAAAAAGCACATTATTTATATGTTGATGTAATCAATTTAAGTTATTTAAAAATTATATTTTATAGAATAATGTTACCATCATATGTACAGACCCCGCTACCGATATAATCACAAGGTACAGCATCGTGTAACAATTGGTTTTCCGTTTTTTCTACAAAATTGGTAAACTGTAATTGATTGAAAGTTAAAATAATTCTTTGAAATTGGTTAAAAAGTAGATATATCATTTATCAATTGTCTCACATTATCCCAAGATGCTTTATCCATCATGTAGTCACCACGTTTCAGCAGCAACTCTAACTTGCGCTGCAATTCTGGCCCGTACTCATATGAACTATGGCCAGCTAATTCACTTGCAGTCCAGTATAAAATATTGTACATGTCAAGATCTTCATCTACCTATAAAATAAATATAGGTTAATAAATAATAAATATAAAAACTTTCAATTATCATAAAGATTAATACTATGTACCATGTCAAATATTCCAAAATACAACGAATATATTTAAAAAAAGAAGTTTTACTGCAGTACTGAATAAATATTTACAGATGAAACCAAGAGAAACTAATTGTAAGCATTATAAACATACCATATTAGTAAATAGCAGATTGAAAAATATTTAGTTTATAATAAAAGATCAACTTGGCAAATCATTACATCAATCACGAAACGCAGAATAGAAATGTCTCTTTGAACGAAAATCTTATTAATTACGTCTTTCGCAAAAGACTCGCCTTTAATGTACGTAGCCGATTCTGCCTTAAAATAGACCAATGTTATGCAAGGCTATGTAATGCAGCAGTTTTCATATAAAGTGGTACTAAAAACTGTCAAAATCCTGTAGTACTGTGGTTGCTGAGCAGTCAGGCGTTTTAGATAGAACACACAAATGTCGAAAAAACGATGTTATCATAACTAGTTCTTTAAGACAATAATATCTCTGATAATTTATTCTTTACTTTGATTTTAAGAAAATTGACTTGTTGTAGTTGTAAATCATTCACTCATAAATCAACGCAAACTGTAATTAATACTAATAAAATATATACAGCATAATATAAATTTTTATTATAAATCAACGTGAACTGCAATTATTATCATAATACAAAAAAGTATATGGGCCTATTTTGCCGTAAAATAGACTAATATTATGGCAATACTATGTTTCGTAGCATTTTTCATAAAAAGTGGTACTAAAAACTATCAAAATGATGTGTGGTTGCTGTACAGTCAGACGTTTTAGATAGAAAATTCAACCTAAAAACGCAAAAAAAAATATCATAACTGCATCTTTGAGATATGGCTAGATAACATATGAGTGAAGTTGCATCTTATGTGTGAAATGCCTGATTGCACTGCAAATACATGGCATTTTGACAGTACTTAGTAACATTATGTATGAAACCTGGAACGAAACATAGTCTATTTTACGGCAAAATCGGCCTATAAATCTATAAAAAAAATATTACCATACCTGTCGTTGCTTATTTCCATTTGTCTCGATGCCTGCAAGTTGCGCAGCACGATCTAAAGATCTTGCAGCACAAGCATCTTCCATATCCAATTCGGAAAGTTCTAAGTAGATGTCTGCTCCTTCTTCAGTAAGGATTGCTTCCTGATTTGTTTCATCGCAAAAAGTTAGAAAGCATAGTGTAAAAATTAGAACGGAAAATAAATTTGGGCAGTCCGATAGCCAATTGGAAGCGCGCGACGCGCTGCACGCCTTCATACCGCCTCAGCAGGGTAACTGAGAAATGAAGTAAAACTAGTTATAAGAGAAATTTTGCCTTAAGGCAAGTTGCAGTAACATTGCGATACATATGCAATATACATAGTCAATTTAATCAATAAGAAGTGAGATTCAACAATTTAGGTTAAATGTTCCACTATTCATTTTAAAATAAAATTTTTGCTTTTACTTCAAAAATAATCAGTACGTTTTATGATTGATGTCTGCAGACATATTTATAATATCAGTAATTGTATAAAGTAAATTACTTTGTTTAACCTTACTTTTTTATATTTATTTCGTGTTCTAAAAATGTTTTTCATTTAAGTGTGGACGTAAACGGTAATCAATAGCTATACACCGCTTCGAAACACCACAGAACGTGATATGCTTTGGCATAGATTTTGATAAAAATCGCTTAAACACGCGGTGAAATTCTAAACTTTGATGAATTTTTATAATTTAACCTCTTATCGTAGGCCTATAATATATTACTAGGTGTTTTATTCTAGAATACAAAATCTATCGTTATACAAAGTTTTATCAAAATCGTCGAAAAATATTATTTCAACTTTTAATTACAAAAAAATGTTTTGGTTTGAAAAAATGGTTTTTAAATTTTTGAAATCAGTCAAGCCGTTTTTGAGAAAACATCGACGAACGGTCAAAAATCGGCTTACATTCATACAAACTTTTTCTAAATTTGGTCTCACTCGATTCAGAATTACGTGAAACGTCAAGAAAACAATTTGATTTTTTCACGAAAACAAACCTCTCCTTCGGAAAGTTAATAGCTCTGTCCATTTCAGCAATTATATCTTCAAAAAACTAAAATTCTATATTTTTTATATTTTTTTTAATTAATTTTATTTTTGAATAATCAATTTATCTAACGTTTTTCCAGAAATGACCGATAAAATCATATACACTCTTTTCTCTATGGATCAAATAATATGAAAAACAAATGAAGAACGAAAAGCTTCGTAGTCAGATAGTATCATAAAATATTTTTATTCGGGCGCGTGATGGTTTAAAAGAACGTCGTATATTTTACCATTTTATATATTTTTATAGATATTTTTAATAAAAAAAAAATTAAGGTAATTGAGTAGTTGAAGTTGCCGGTGTTATACTACAGCGTTTACTGAAAAACTGTCGAAAAAGTTGTAACTTTTTTTTGGATCTCAGATCGTGTACTGAAAGGAGGACATTTTTCTTCACTAGCTTGACGTTTCGTAAGTACATTTAGGTGTAAATTACATTTAATATTTAATATGTAGTATTTTAGCTTTGCACATAATGTATAGACATTTAAATCAAAAGAAAAGCGGGTGTAAAAATCTATGAGTAACCGTGTAAGGTGTAAGCTTAAAGCAGTGGTTTCCAAGTTGTGGAGAGCTATCTTAGGGGGACGCCATATTGTTGCAAATACTATTTCATTACTAAATACAAATAAAAAAAGTTGAATTAGTGTCAAAAAATAATTAAACTAGTGGTGCATGGCATCGTCCTTAAGGCAAATTGCTGGAACTTTTCGTATCGTAATATATGATTCGAAGAATGAAAATAATCAATAATTGTTTTAATTAATTTGACATAAATTATTTATTATAAATACATACTGTGAACTTGCTTTTGCTTTTTAAATTAGGCGACGAGCGTTTTCTACAAACTGTATATGTTTATAAAAAATTGATTAATTTATTTTTAAGTTTGATTTTTTTTTTGATAATTTAGAATTTTTTTTAAGATACTGATTTTTTTTAGATTTAAAAAAAAATAATAATTTTTTGAGAATTTGGAAATTTTTGAAAATATTTGATTTTTTTTAAGTTTCGAAATATTCTCAAGTTTTTGTAAGAAATCGTTTTTTTAATTTCGATATCTTCTGAAATTTTTCAAAATTCAGTTTTTTTTGAAAATGATGAAAAATTTTGAAAATTTGAATTTTTTGTAACTTCGATTTTTGATTAGATCTTTCGAATAGTTATGGATTTTTAAAAGCAATAGTCCTATCAACGAATGGTTTTTAAATTTTTTAAATTTTGTATATGTTTATAAAAAATTGATTAACTTATTTTTTAAGTTTGATTTTTTTTTTTGATAATTTAGAATTTTTTTTAAGATACTGATTTTTTTTAGATTTAAAAAAAAATAATAGTTTTTTGAGAATTTGGAAATTTTTGAAAATATTTGATTTTTTTTTAAGTTTCGAAATATTCTCAAGTTTTTGTAAGAAATCGTTTTTTCAATTTCGATATTTTCTGAAATTTTTCAAAATTCAGTTTTTTTTGAAAATGATGAAAAATTTCGAAAATTTGAATTTTTTGTAACTTCGATTTTTGATTGGATCTTTCGAATAGTTATGGATTTTTAAAAGCAATAGTCCTATCAACGAATGGTTTTTAAATTTTTTAAATTAGTCAAAAATCGGCATACATTCACACAATCTTTTTCTAAATTTGATCTCACTCGATTCAGAATGACGAGAAACGTCGAGAAAACAATTTGATTTTTTACTCTCCTTCGGGAATTTAATAGCTCTGTTCATTCCAGCAATTATATCTTCAAAAAACTTAAATTCTATATTTTTTATATTTTTTCTAATTAAATTTGATATTTGAATAATCAATTTATCTAACGGTTTTCCAGAAATTACCAATAAAATCATATACACTCTTTTCTCTATGGTTCAAATATTATGCAAAACAAATGAAGAACGAATCAGCTTCGTAGTCAGATAGTATCATAAAATATTTTTATTCGGGCGCGTGATTATTTAGAAGAACGTCGTATATTTTACCATTTTATATATTTTTATACATTTTTTTAACAGAAAAATTTAAGGTAATTGAGTAGTTCAAGTTGCCGGTGTTATAATACAGCGTTTACTGAAAAACTGTCGAAAAAGTTGTAACTTTTTTTTGGATCTCAGATCGTGTACTGAAAGGAGGACATTTTTCTTCACTAGCTTGACGTTTCGTAAGTACATTTAGGTGTAAATTACATTTAATATTTAATATGTAGTATTTAAGCTTTGCACATAAAGTATAGATATTTAAATCAAAAGAAAAGCGGGTGTAAAAATCTATGAGTAGCCGTGTAAGGTGTAAGCTTAAAGCACTGGTTTCCAAGTTGTGGAGAGCTATCTTAGGGGGACGCCATATTGTTGCAAATACTATTTCATTACCAAATACAAATAAAAAAAGTTGAATTAGTGTCAAAAAATAATTAAACTAGTGGTGCATGGCATCGTGCCTTAAGGCAAATTGCTGGAACTTTTCGTACCGTAATAAATAATTCGAAGAATGAAAATAATCAATAATTGTTTTAATTAATTTGACATAAATTATTTATTATAAATACATACTGTGAACTTATAAATGCTCTTTAAATTAGGCGACGAGCGTTTTCTACAAACAACTTTGTATATGTTTATAAAAAATTGGTTAATTTATTTTTTAAGTTTGATTTTTTTTGATAATTTAGATTTTTATTTAAGATTCTGATTTTTTTAGATTTAAAAAAAAAAAAAATTTTTTGAGAATTTGGAAATTTTTGAAAATATTTGATTTTTTGTTTTTTTAATTTTGATATTTTCTGAAATTTTACAAAATTCAGTTTTTTTTGAAAACGATGAAAAATTTCGAAAATTTGAATTTTTTGTAACTTCGATTTTTGAATGGATCTTTTGAATAGTTATGGATTTTTAAAAGCAATAGTCCTATCAACGAATGGTTTTTAAATTTTTGAAATTAGTCAAGCCGTTCTTGAGAAAACATCGACGAAAGGTCAAAAATCGGCTTACATTCACACAAACTTTTTCTAAATTTGGTCTCACTCGATTCAGAATGACGTGAAACGTCGAGAAAACAATTTGATTTTTTCCTCTCCTTCGGGAAGTTAATAGCTCTGTTCATTCCAGCAATAATATTTTCAAAAAACTTAAATTATATATTTTTTATATTTTTTCTAATTAAATTTGATATTTGAATAATCAATTTATCTAACGGTTTTCCAGAAATTACCAATAAAATCATATACACTCTTTTCTCTGTGGATCAAATAATATGCAAAACAAACGAAGAACAAATCAGCTTCGTAGTCAGATAGTATCATAAAATATTTTTATTCGGGCACGTGATGATTTAGAAGAACGTCGTATATTTTACCATTTTATATATTTTTATAGATATTTTTAATAAAAAAATTTAAGGTAATTGAGTAGTTAAAGTTGCCGTAGCTATAATACAGCGTTTATTAAAATCCTGTTGAAAAAATGCAACTATTTTTTGGATCTGACATCATGTGCTGAAGGGAGGACATTTTTTTTCACTAGCTTGACGTTTCGTAAGTATATTTAGATATAAATTACATTTAATATTTAATATGTAGTATTCAACCATTGCATATAAAGTATAGACTTTTAAATCAAAAGAAAAGCGGGTGTAAAGATCTATGAGTAGCCGTGTAAGGTGTATGCTTAAAGCAGTGGTTTCCAAGTTGTGGAGAGCTATCTTAGGGAGACGCCATATTGTTGCAAATACTATTAGTGTCAAATTGTGTCAAATAGTGTCGAATTAGTGTCAAAAAATAATTAAACTAGTAGTGCATGACATCGTACCTTAAGGCAATTTTACCTTAATTAACTATTACCCATTTAACTATTCTTAATTCACTATTTACTAATAACTATTCACTATTTACTATTAACTATTCGTTTATCACTATTCACTATTCACTATTTTACTATTAACGATTCACTATTAACTATTCAGATTATCACTATTCACTATTAACTATTTACTATTCAACTATTTACTATTAACTATTCACTATTTGACTATCCACAATTCAACTATTTTTAATTCACTATTTACTAATAACTATCCACTATTTACTATTAACTATTCACTATTTAATTATTTAGTTATTACTATTCACTATTTACTATTAACTGTTCACTATTTACTATTCATTTATTTAACTATTAACTATTAAACTATATAGTTAATCCTATTCAATATTCACTATTTACTATTTACTATTCACCATTAACTATTTAACTATTTACTATTTAACTATTTACTTTTTAACTATTAACTATTTATTTAAATTATTAACTATTTACTTATAACTATTTAATTATTAACTATTCACTATTTAACAATTCACTATTCACTATTTAACTATTCTAAATTCACTATTTACTAATAGTTATTCACTTATTACTATTCACTATTCAACTACTAACTACTTAACTATTCAGTTATCACTATTCACTATTTACTATTTTACTAACAATTAACTATTAACTATTTACTTATTTTAATATTAGTTATTCACTATACACTATAGTACCACTTTACTATTCAACTATTTACAATTCAACTATTAACTGATTAACTATTTAGTGCGCATGCGCCAAATACGCAAGACGTTCATGAGACCGCTCCAAGTACGCACGTACAATTCTTTTAATTGGATTGTTTGAGAACTACACATTCACCTAGCGTTTTGGGGATTGTGCACATTCATCGGTAAATGTGCACATTCACCGGTAAATGTGCACATTCACCAAGAGTGCACATTTACCGTAACATACATACTGTAAATTTATAAGTGCTTTTTAAATTAGGCGACGAGTATTCTACAAATAACTTTGTGAATATTTATGAAAAATTGGTTCATTTATTTTGTAACTTTGATTTTTTTTTTGATAATTTAGAATTTTTTTCAAATTAAAAACATTTTTTTTGAGATTTGTTTTGAAAATATTTAATTTTTTTGAAAGTTTCGAAATATTCTCAAGTTTTTGTAAGGAATTTTTTTTTAATTTTGATATTTTCTGAAATTTCTCTTTTTTTTTGAAATTTTGATTTTTTTAAAAATTTTGATTTTTTTTGAAAATTTTAAATTTTTTTTTTTGAAAATTTTCAAAATTACGAAATTTTCTGTTAAAGCATTTTTCCAGTAATGTTTTTTTGCAGTAACCGTTCTCTCAAAAACTGTAAAACTGTTTTTACACCCTTTGCGCCTCGCAATCGAGTACAAACCAGATTGAATGATTATTCAATCATACAAATCGGTTATTCCATACTGTCGAGAATGTCGAGGACATTTGTTTGGATCATATACGTAAATTTTAAAATTAAAAATCTTGGTACGGAACCTAAAACAATTGACACAAAATGTGTACACATTATTAAGATCTCTGAAATATATCTGATATTAATCCGTGTTACCGAAATTATCAACGAAAATTTGTATCCGCACACACACACACACGAACATCGAACATTTCGAAAATGTTCAGAAACCATTAAACGTAAAGATATATATGCAATAAAGTGAAATGATTGTATGTAAATATTATTGTATGTAATTAATATACTATTTTGTAGCCCGTTTAATGATTTATATATCAGTAGTTATGGAGTTAAATTGTTATATTAATAAAATAAGCGTCACAGTTTTTTTTTAATTAAACAGGCGGGCGCAGGTACAAACAGATTGGAAACTACTGACCCAAGAGATATAAAACTTGCACCTCGTGTGAAAGAAAAGGTTAACATATGAATTTTAGATATGTTACTTATGCATTATATATTTGATAATAATAATTATTATTATAATATATTACTAATTTCATAAAAATTCCTTATAGGAAATTAAACATATATTTTAACGAAATGGCGAATTTTACTCCACGAACTGGTAAGTTTATTTTATTTATTGGTTTATTGGCATAATAAGCACATTATTAATAAAAGTACTATATAATATATATACCATAGAATATTATTCTATATCACATTTGATATTTTTGTTATAATATTATAAAATTATTCATGCTTGTAAGTTTCTCAATATTTAGTCAAGGTCCCATAAATTTTGAATAAAAGTCTAACTCTTAAAATTATTAGTGTATTTAAGTTTTTCTCTATGTTTACTTAAGGTTGTAAACTTATGTTTCAGAAAAGGGAAATTTTACTCCTACATCATCCCATTCCGGGATAAGTTCACATAGTAGCCGAAATGGTGAGAATTGTGCACAAAAATTCAATCCTTATAATATTATTTTGATATAGTTATCTTGTTTCATCATGATAATTTGGCTGTAAAATATGGATAAATTCCTTAAATTTTATATAAAAGCCTAGCTCCTAAAATTATTAGTTCATTCAAGTCTTTTACTATGATTACTTATGATTGTTACTTTTGTTCTAGATAATGAAGAAGTCAATGATAGACCATACTATTCTGGGATAATTAGTTTCCATAGTACCAGAAATGGTGAGAATTATGCACAAAAAACAATTCTTTTAATATTATTTTGGAAATAGTCATCTTGTTTCACCGTGATATTTGGCTGTGAAATATGGATGAATTCCATAAATTTTATATTAAAGTCTAACTCCTAAAATTATTAGTTTTCTATGTTTGCTTAACGTTGTTACTTTTGTCTTAGATAGGAGAAAAGTAACTTCTACACCATCCCATTCCGGGATGATAAGTTCATCATATAGTACCAGAATTGGTGAGAATTGTGCACAAAAATTCAATTCTTTTAATATTATTTTGGAATTGTTATCCTATTTCATCATGATAATTTGGATGTAAAATATGAATAATTTCTATAAATTTTATATAAAAGTCTAACTCCTAAGATTAGATTTAGGTCTTTCTCTATGTATACTTAAGGTTGTTATTTTTGTTTTAGACAAAGGAAAAGTGACTCCTACATCATCCTGTTCCGGGATAATATGTTCATCACATAGTACCAGAAATGGTGAGAATTGTGCACAAAAATTCAATTCTTTTAATATTATTTTGGAATTGTTATCCTATTTCATCATGATGATTTGGAAGTGAAATATGGATAAATTCTATAAATTTTATATAAAAGTCTAACTCCTAAGATTAGATTTAGGTCTTTCTCTAGGTATACTTAAGGTTGTTATTTTTGTTTCAGAAAAGGGAAATTTTACTCCTACATCATCCCATTCCGGGCTAAGTTCACACAGTAGCAGAAATGGTGAGAATTGTGCACCAAAATTCAATCCTTATAATATTATTTTGATATAGTTATCCTGTTTCATCATGATAATTTGGCTGTGAAATATGGATAAATTCCATAAATATTATATAAAAGCCTAGCTCCTAAAATTATTAGTTCATTCAAGTCTTTTACTATGATTACTTATGATTGTTACGTTTGTTCTAGATAATGAAGAAGTCAATGATAGACCATACTATTCCGGGATAATTAGTTTCCAAAGTACCAGAAATGGTGAGAATTATGCACAAAAAACAATTCTTTTAATATTATTTTGGAAATAGTCATCTTGTTTCACCGTGATATTTGGCTGTGAAATATGGATGAATTCCATAAATTTTATATTAAAGTCTAACTCCTAAAATTATTAGTTCATTTAAGGTCTTTCTCTATGTTTGCTTAACGTTGTTACTTTTGTTTTAGACAGGAGAAAAGTAACTTCTACACCATCCCATTCCGGGATGATAAGTTCATCATGTAGTGCCAGAATTGGTGAGAATTGTGCACAAAAATTCAATTCTTTTAATATTATTTTGGAATTGTTATCCGATTTCATCATGATAATTTGGATATGAAATATGGATAAATTCTATAATTTTTATATAAAAGTCTAACTAAAAGCCTAAGATTAGATTTAGAAATTTCTCTAGGTATACTTAAGGTTGTTATTTTTGTTTTAGACAAAGGAAAATTGGCTCCTACACCATCCTATTCCGGGACAATATGTTCATCACATGGTACCATAAATGGTGAGAATTCTGCACAAAAATTCAATTCTTTTAATATCATTTTGTGAATGTTGTCCTATTTCATCGTAATAATTTGGCTGTGAAATATGGATAAATTCTATAAATTTTATACAAAAGTGTAACTCCTAGGATTATTAGTGCATTTAGGTCTTTCTCTATGTATACTTAAGGTTGTTACTTTTGTTTTAGACAAGAGAAATGTAAGTCCTACATCATCCCATTGCGGGAAAATAAGTTCATCACATAGTACCAGAAATGGTGAGAATTGTGCACAAAAATTCAATTCTTTTAATATTATTTTGAAATAGTTATCCTGTTTCATCATGATAATTTGGATGTGAAATATGGATAAATTCTATAAATTTTATATGAAAGTCTAACTCCTAAGATTAGATTTAGGTCTTTCTATATGTATACTTAAGGTTGTTATTCTTGTTTTAGACAAAGGAAAAGTGACTCCTACACCATCTTATTCCGGGATGATAAGTTCATCACATGATACCAGAAATAGTGAGAATTGTGCACAAAAATTCAATTCTTTTAATATTATTTTGAAATAGTTATCCTATTTTATCATGATAATTTGGCTGTATAATATAGACAAATTCCACAAATTTTATATAAAAGTTTAACTCCTAAAATTATTAGTTTATTAAAGTCTTTCTCTATGTTTACTTAAGGTTGTTACTTTTGTTTTAGACAAGGGAGAAGTAACTCCTATACCATCCCAATCCGGGATAGTAAGTTCATCAGATAGTATCAGGAATGGTGAGAATGGTGCACAAAAATTCTATTCATTTCATATTATTTTGAAATAGTCATCTAGTTTCACCGTGATATTATTTGGCTATAAAATATGGAGAAATTCCATACATTTTTTATAAAAGTCTAACTCCTAAGATTATTAGTTCATTTAAATCTTTATATTTACTTAAGGCTGTTATTTCTGTTTCAGAAAAGGGCAATGTCACTATTACACCATCCCATTCCGGGAAAATAAGTTCAACTAGTATCGGGAATGGTAAAAATTGTGCACAAAAATTTTATTCTTTTAATATTATTTTGAGTTAAGCATTCTGTTTCACCATGATAATTCGGCTGTGAAATGCGGAGAAAATTCATAAATTTTTTATAAAAATCGAACTCCTAAAATTATTAGTTCATTTAAGTCCTTCTCTATGTTTACTTAACGTTTTTGCTTTTGCTCTAGACAAGAGAAAAGTGACTCCTACACAGTCGACTTCCAAAACAATAAGTTCAATTCATTTAATATTATTTTGTGTTAGTCATCTTGTGTCACCGTGATATAATTTGGCTGCAAAATATGGATCAATTACATACATCTGATATAAAAGTGCACAAATAACTCCTAAAAATATTAGTAAAATTAAGTATTTTTTATGTTTAGTTAAGGTTGTTATTTTTGTTTCAGACAAAGAAAAAGACTCTCCTACGCCATGCCATTCCGGAATATTGAGTTCACATAGCATCGAAAATGGTGATAATTCTATTTATTTAATATTATTTTGAATAGTCATCTTGTTTCACCGCGATATAATTTGGCTGTAAAATATGGATAAATTCCATAATTTTTATATACAAATCTAAAACATCTAAATTTATATTAATGCATTTAAGTCTATTAATTTTTATGTGTTTTGAAGCTGCTGTTTTTGTTTTAGATAAAAAGAAAGCTACTCCCATACCATCCATTTGCAAGGTTATAAGTCCACATAGAAATCAATCTGAATCAAGTGGACATGGTGAGAATTTTGTACAAATTATTCTATTCATAAATTATCATTCTGAAATACTGATCTTGTTTCAATGTGATAAATTATAGCTGTAAAGTATGTATGAATTCGATAAATTTTATATAAAAATTTCAGTCTTACATAAAATAAATGATAGATGAATATAATTTAAGGTACAGCAGTAAAAAGTTGTAAGAAAGATGCAAATGGAAGGGGCAAAAAACTTAGTACGATAAATGAATTCAGTGGAGAAAGCTTATTAATTCAAACACCGAAAAATTTCAATACTCCTTGCTCATCGTATGGTATCTTACCATATGGTAAAAAACTAGGTGCTACTGTCGATAGTTCTGGTAGCATTTCTGATCAAGAGCAATGTAGCAATGAATCGCTTATTGAAAAGCAATTGTGTTCATACATTTATGATGAAGATCGACAGGAAAAATCTACACAGACGAAACATGCTTTGCAACCACAACTTTTAGAGGAACTTTGTGAATCTGAGTCTGAAGAAAATATACTTAAAATTGTCTCTTCCAGTCCCTTAGAACAATTTATCGCCGAATTCAATTTCACCTGCGAAAAAGACGTAGAACGCGCAGAAATTCTCGTAGAAATTGACGATAAATTTAAACAAATTGATCGTGGACAAATCATTTGGATAGACAACTTAAATAATGGAAATTATCAGACCATTGACATTAAAAGCATGACAAATTCGGATGAGCCACAGATAGTATATCATACATCCGAACAACCAAGTAGGAATGTGGTAAATCAGAACAATAGTGTTAATACTCATGTGAACAGTGCGGAAGGCAGGCCTATAAACTCCTCTCAAATGGTTGAGAATTTAGATGAGCCACAACTGCCATATTATCCTCGCAACAGGTCAGATTGGCATTATGGAGCAGAAGAACAATACAATTCGCACGTATGTAACTCCAGATTGAATAACAATTCAATCAATATGGAAAATGGTATTAAACCATTAAATCGAAATAATACTCATGTTAGTAATACTGCGCACGGAGCGAAGCGTAGACCAATGAATTCTGGTCAAAGTAAAACTTATGACTACATTGACGGAAGAAACATGACGTATTCAGATGAGCCACAGGCGTCATATTATACACGCAACCAATCAAATAGGCATTATGAGACAGAAGGCAATTTCAATCATATGAGTGATAATATTGAACCATTGAATAAAAACAATGTTTTTGTTAATAATCCGGTGAACAGAGCGAATCGTAGAGTAATAAATTCATCTGGAAGATGTAATTACTATTATATTGACACAGAAAACAAAATGAACCCAGATGAATCACAGTTACCATATTATCCTTGCAGCCAATCAAATATGCATTATGAAGTAGAAGATCCTTATGAGATAAATATGGGAAATGGTATCGAACAATGGAATCAAAACAATGTCCTTCTGAATACTCCTGTGTACAGTGCGGAACGTAGGCCAATAAATTGTTCTCATAGTGGTAATTATGATTATATTGATATGGAAAATGTGACAAATTTACATGATCCACAGGTGCCATGTTATCAATGCAATGAATCAAATTGGGATTACGGAGTAAATAATGCGCAGTATAATTCACAAATACAGAACTCCATGAGGAATGAAATTGAACAGTTTAATCAAAATGATTTGTTGGCTAGTCCTTACTTACAAGAAATTAAACCAATAAAGTACTGTCAGGCTAATAATATTGATACTAGCATTCCTACGCAAAGAATTAGACATACTGAACATTTTAGAGAATATGTTCCATCGACGATTCGAAATTCGAATCAAAATTTGAATCGAAATTGTTATTACGAACATCAGTCAATGAGTAACCCACGGTTTTCTAGTTTTCATCAAAGGTCAGGCAAAGAAACTTCTGACCAAACTGAAGTTGAATATAATATGCAGGATCAGTTAGTTACAGATTATAATCCATTTGCAAATGCTAGAAATTGTTATTACAAACAACAGCTAATGAGTCCCCGAAGCTTTTCTAGTGTTTGTGGAAGGCCAAGGAAAAAACGTGACAATCAACATATGCAGGTACCAACAAGGCAATATTGTAAGCTTAATCAACTGAGATATAACCCACAGAATTACTATAAAGACATCAGGCAACATGAAAAGAGATTTTTAACTAGACACCCATATAATCAAGCTGAGTGCCCAGCTCGAGTTCAAAAGTATGATTATAGAGAACCAGCTCGTCCCAGTGTTAGAAGAACTAACATTAAACGTTTACCTATTATACTATTGCCAAAAACACAATTTCGAAGTAATGCATATTTGTTACGTAAATTGATACCTAATCGTGTTTCACAAACGTTGCCTATGGGTTTTGAAAACAGACAATCGTTAATAACAAACAATAATAGACAAACTGAATTCTTTACAAATTCTTCAGACCAAGGTACACAAACAAATTTCCCACAAGTTGTTCATGCTAATAATGATAAACATAGAATCAGTAAACAATCCTGGCTTCACAATGTCCAGAAAATCAATGATTCGTTAATGACCAACAATAATAGCCGAACTGAATTCTTCAAAAATTCTTCAGACCAAGGCACACAAACAAATTTCCCACAAGTAGTTCAAACTAATAATGATAAAAACAGAATCTCTGAACAATCGTGGCTTCACAGAGTCCAGAATATCAACGTTTCATTAATGACAAACAATAATTGCCAAACTGAACTCGTCACAAATTCTTCAGAACAAGGCACACAGACAAACTATCCACAAGTTGTTCAAAATAATAATGATAAAAACAAAAACAGTCAACGATTCTGGTTTCCCAGTGTCCTGAATACCGAAGCAAACTCGCCTGAATCATCTTCCTCCTCTTCGACTCTAAAGGCATCAGGTCATGTGACCGATGAAACACCATTAAAATCTACTCTGCCCGATCAATCCTCACAAAAACCTACAACCTCACCTCGATTACCGGCGCGTGAAATGTTTGCAAGGCTGTTAAACCAAAAAGGTGGTCGTAATCCACTTATATTCATGAGCGATATACTTCGTGAGCTTTCTATGATTAGTCCAACTTCATCTATCAATAAAGCTGCTACAGAGTGTTTTACGCCAGATCCTCTACATAAATCCGCTTGCTCTACTCAATCTCCTACTAGTGAGATACTATGGCAGAACAAAATTTTTGAATGTTCTGATACAGAATCAGATGATTCAAAAAAGCGGATCAATAACATAGATCAAAGATGCTATAGAGTAAATGAACTGGAAGTTCAAGAAAGTCGGAATTGCGGACAAGCATTGTGCCCTATTTTCGAAAACGAAGATAATGTAGTTGTATATGATATAGACAAAGGTTATGTATTTGAAGAGTTGACAGGCCGAACTAAAATAGATGGTGTACAGGTAAATAGCAAAAAGTTTGTGCAAGTATTGCTTGGGAAATATTCTGGCCTGTATGAAAAAGTGTCACACCTTGAAAATCGCCATGGTGAGCTTTTAATCATCAGCTATGATAAACCAGAATCTATAGCAGATGATGCATTGAATGAAGGAGCAAACGTTGCAAGCGACAATAAATTATTATTAATAGAATCCAAAGAAGAAGAGTATTACCAGTATAAGATCGTATCTGCCAAAAAAGGCGAGAAAATGATAATTCAAAATTGTGTAATAGCTCGCCGTTGCTCCAAAGAAGTAGAGTTGCTTTATTTAAATATTCTACTTGACGAAAACATAAGACTGCATAAATCAAGATTCAAAGACAAATGCACAGGAACCTTGTAATCATACGATCCACATAAGTAAACTGAAAAATTATTTTACGTCTGACCATGATTATTAAAACTACTCAATTACCAAATTGAAAAATATATTTTTATAACGTTTTTAGAAATGAATAGAATCTTTTTGTAGAAATATTTATTTTATATATTTTATGAGATGCTATCTGAAAAAATATATAATTGATTTATATAGTTTGTGTTTCATTATTATCAAAATGTATGGTATCAGATACTTAACATTGTATTTTCAGGTCAATCTAATGATTATCTAATTGCTACTATGTCCTCATTAATATAAATACAAATGTAAATGCTTATTCAATAATGTACACATTATGTTATAACATCAATTTTAATATATCTTTACAATTAAAAACTTTCTGAACAATTTGCCATACATTAGAAAAAATTGATTTATGTGTGTGTATGTATGTATGTATGTGAACGTGTATATGAGAACACGGATCAACCGATTTGAATGATTCAAAAACATTCAATTTCTATTAATAAGGAGACGTGCTGATTAGTTTTTGGCAAAGATAGGTCCAGCCGTTTGAAAGATTTGGGGCAGAAAGTTTTCGAGATAATGGAGCATCCGATTGGAATGATTTAAAAAACAATTTGTATTGACGAAATGAAAAACTGATGAATTTTTTGGGAAGACAGGTCTAGCGGTTTCGGAGATCCAACAAAAACGTGAAAAAAATGATCCTTATACATATGCACATCAAATTATCAGATGTTTTAGAGAGATTCTAATAATAATAACAAATTATTCTATGGGTTTGGTACTATGTTTATCCGATAGACTGCGACGCGGTGCTTTCGCGTTTTAAGTAGAGGCAAAAAGACAGAATTTTGGATTACTTAATCTTAATACAAACCTGATTCGCCTCTACTTTCAAATATTGTTGGTGAAAAATTCTTAACTTTACTTTTACTATTTTTGAGAAATGAATGATGGACCTTTTTACCAAAACTCAACTCTACCCTACTGAATTATGATAATTAATTACTGTATACATCGTTAGGCCAATGATCTTAAATATCATTAACATACAAAGTATATACATCAACAATGTGAATCAGGTTTGTCTTAAGTAATCCAATATTAAAAATTTAAATATGAAAATATTTAAATACAAACTTAGGCAGATATAATTATATGATTATAGCATAAAAATCGACTTAAAAACATATTATAAACTATTATAAAACATATTATATATATATATATAATATAATACATATTTCAATAAAAAGAGACTGGTGATATTAAAAGAATATTACAAATTGAGTTAAGAATTTATCGGTTCATTGACGATTTTATTAAAAGTTATCTAATCAACTTTCATTATTGTTTATAAAAAACATAGAAATCAGTATTTATAAAATTTTGAACAAGAGCAAAAGATATCACTATAGTATTACATATTTGTGTTTTAATTAGTCTTTCTATACATTTTAATCACTGCAATATATCTTATCAAAATTAGTAATTGATTCTACTGTATATGACTTAAATTCTATTCCAGCTCTAATATTTAAATGAAGTAAACCACTTTCTAAAATTTAAATAAAATAAACATTTTATATTTAATGCCTTGATTTCTCAATATAAATAGTTAATACATATTGCCAAAGTACAGACAAATTGGCTCAATTACAGAAAAGATACAGAACGCTATTCTGTAAAAAAATACTAACTATCGCAAAAAAACGCGAATTTGCCTATTTTAAAATTCACGGTGACATAAAAAGAATTGACAAGCACATTTTAACTGAAATAAATAAAACAATCGGACCACAAAGGTCGCATTGTATATATTGGTGCCCTGTGCATTTTAATTGTTTGTTAATACTTATGCATTGCCGATTTTACAATACCGCATAAATTAATTCTATATATTGAAAATTCGAGATTTAGGCGAAGCTGGAAATTATAAATGAAACAATATCTATAACAATTAATGATAGCTATATATTATTTTATTAACACGAAAACTTCAACTAAGATTACTCAATAGTTGTAAAAGTAAATATGACAATAAAACAAGCAAAATGAAATTCAATTAACATATCATCTAAATTTAATATCATATCATTTTTTTTTAATTTACCACAAATTTGCATATTTATTTAGTGCTTCGGATATCCGAATTAAATCCTAAAACCAATTTTTAACTTTCCGTAGAGTAAGTTATAGTAATCGCAAAAAAAATCGAAAATGAAAATTTTTATATTATATATTTTTACGTTTTAGAGGTTTCTGAACATTTTGGCATACCTTAGAAAAAATAGATGTATGTGTGTGTATATATATGTGCGGGTACAATTTTTTGTCGACGATTTCAAGACCACGAAGACATGCTAATTAGTTTTTGGTAGAAGCAGATTTAGTCGTTCCGAAGATATGAGGCAAAAAGTGCCAAAAATAGTAATTCAATTTTTGAGAGAACGGAGCGTTCGATAATTCAAAAAATATTCTATTTGTATAAACTAAATGAAGAACTAAAAGTAAAAAAAATGCCATTTGGCGGACAAAAATGATCATTAGACATATGCACATCAAATTATCACAAAATTCATAGATATTTTACTAATAACAAATTTTGTTTACATTTCTATGGGCTCCGTACCAATGTTTATCTGTTATACTCGAAGCACGCGGCGCCCACGCGCTTCAATATTTCGTTACTACATAGCTAAAGTACAGCAAATGCTTTTGAAAAAGTTTGAAATTTCCAAAATATATCAATGTATGAAAAAAATTAAATTTTTCAAAACTGTGTTTTTTTCGAAAGTCTTAAAAATCTCAAAAATCTATTTTTTTTTTCAAAGTTCTAGAAAAAAATGTATCTTTTTTCAAAACTTAAATTTTTGGTACCGTAAGTTCCAGCAATTTGCCTTAAGGCACGATTCCATGCACCAAGCACCACTAGTTTTAAAATAATATAACAATATGTTTCCAAGTGGAAATAACCCTCCCCGAATTGCTACATCATCAGTATTGCAAAAATTATAATAATAAAATGATCTACAAAAATTTAGAGAAAAATATAGAGATAGGACAACCGTTTGGGTTGCCACTTCGGACTCGTTAAGTTCGAGTTTCTGATAAGTATATGTAGAAAATGTGTCAAATATGAAAATGTACATATGGTATATAACATTAGATAAGCCATCTCTTATTGCTAAAATCTTCTTAATTTGAGACAGAATCAAAAACAGTGTTTATACTAAAGACTGATAACTATTTTAATAAAATTTTATAGACCGTAATCTGCTTTCAATTTAACTGCAATTAGCACTGCCTAATATATTTTTGGCGCAATAAATTAAATGTAATTCATATTAAGATGTTTTTGATCCTAACAATAATAATATATTTTTTACAAATATACGTACAGTATATATCAATTTGTATACATTTAGATAGGTAAAATTACTTAGATTATATTTTTCTGAACTGAAAAATTCAGTGATATTTGGATCAAATCCTATCACAAATATTGAATTTAAAAATAGTTAATTTAGAATTAGATAGAATTTTAATCGTTAAATTGTATTTGAATAAAATTAAAAGTAAGAAGAAAAAGTAAGATTAGAATCGGAGATCCGATTTAAAAGAAAAAGAAGAATGATGAAATAAGTTGTAGCTCTTTACTTCTTATTTCTTCATGCTTCTTTTTCTTAAAAGAAAATCTTGTTCAGAAAGAAAATTTCATAGAATGGAAATTATATATATATATATATTTCCTTGCTCCCAGTGGCTCAAAAGCTTCTCAATTGATAAAAAAAATTCTCTGAAAATTTTAACTCTTATTATTAACTTTATTTAAGATAATCCGCATTCCAAAGTTTCTAAAGAAATAACATGGGTAAAATTTCATTTGTTTTATAACTTAGCGACAAGTGTATCAGAATTTTAAAGATAACATTGTATTTGCTTATTTTGATCATAAATAAAAAATTATAACAAAAAATTGATATATTTTATAAGATAAGTATTTACTAAAAAAGAAAAACCAAGATACTTTTAGCTGGAGTGCGGACTATCTCAAAGTTAATATTAAGAGCTAAAACTTTCAGAGAATTTTTTTTTATCAATTTGGAAGCCGCAGGGAGCAAGGAAATTCGAGAACATCCATATTAAGGGCCACCGATAGACCGACACCTCCTGTAATCCGACTCCTTTGCGATCGAATTTTTTGGCAATTTTAACGTTATTTCCTATAATATAAGTTGAAAGTTATGACTTTTCCACTATAATTCAGTAATCCGTCACTCCTTGATAGTGTCGGATTAGCGAAAGTGTGTGTGCACATGCACATGTGTTTAGGTATATATGTATATATGCATTTACATATATGGTCAATTTGTTTTTTATTTTATTTAAGAAATAACTCGCTTAATGAATCCAGTCGAAAATGAAAGCATTCTGTTACTTACATTGAAAAATTCCTCATTCAACAACTTTCTGTTTATGCAACTGCAAATGTTTGTTGCATTATATTCACAAAAAATAATCCACAAAAATCACTGTATCACACTTGCACCAATTAATTGAAATTCAAAAAAAAAATTATGCACTTACATTTAACACTTCTAAAATTAAATCTTGGTCACACATTAAAATTGGCAAAAGGTTAAAGAAATTGTAACTAGATATAATGTTTGTGTAACATTTTTGTAAACATCACACTATATTCATATTTACAATATAATTTATTTATGAAGTACAGTAATAGTGGTACATAAAAAATGTGTCTTATTTACTAACAACGAGATTTTGTAGTAAATATTATGATCACTGATTACGTTTCATTAAAGACTTTGTCACTACTTTGAATCGAATATTTCAGTCAAAATTACACTAATTTCAAAATTGCACTATAAATTTAATACGATCACATTTTTATTGTTTTTTGTATTTTCCATCTAGATTTTTTATTACTTGGCTACATTTTTATTTATTTATTTTTATTTATTATTTATTTTCCTGGTTTTTATTATAAAAGTCGATGTGGTTTAGAGTCCAGAGTTGAACTGTTTTTAAGCAGTGCACACGTGCGAGTACACAGCTACTGACTACACTTGCCTTGCTCTCATCGTGTTATCATTATGTTCTCAAACTTTTATAAAGATAATAAATTAGTCATTATCCATCGCATTTAATTAGTTTTTATTGATTCGCATACATAAAGCAATTACACAATATATAAATCATTAACGACCATATCATCATGTGGTCATTTAAATCAAATTTCATTTTGTAAAATTAGCTTTTATAATTGAATAAAGTATTAGCTGTATTGTTTTTTTCTTAATTTTATTAACTTCTTGTAGGATAAGTTATTGTAACCGTCCAAAAATCGAAATTGATCATTTTTGTATATCTTTACGTTTAAGATGTTTCTGAATATTTTGGCATACCTTATAATTAGAAAAAATGAATGTGTGCCTGAGTGCGTGTGTGTGTATGTGTAGATACAATTTTTCAGGCGTACGGGTCAACCGATTTGATTGATTCAAAAAGCAATCGATTTCTATTGATAGGGAAACGCGCTGATTAGTTTTTGGCAAAAGTCAGTCCAGTTGTTTCGGAGATACAAAGCAAAGAGTGCCGAAAATGGAAATCGAATTTTTGAGAGAACAGGGCACCCGATTTGAATGATTCATAAAATATTTAATTCGTAATGATACAGAGAAGTGGTGATTATTTTTTGGCAAAGACAGGTTTAGCCGCTTCGGAGGTAAAGAGCTAAATGTGCAAAAAATTGTAGTTTTTCAGAGAACGAAACGTTCGAATTGAATGATTCAAAATATATTTTGCTTGTATTGACAAAATGATTGGTTTTGGAGAAAACACAATAAAAATTTTAATTTATCAAGAATAATTTGAATTTAAATTTTAATTCTGAAGCTCACTTATATACCCGAAATAAATAATTTTAACTTTGCCGTTCAGTTTATATAATTCTTAAAAATATGAGATAAAATCCTTCATTCTAACTCCGCTTGATTAAATTTCGTTTATTTACTTTTTATGTAAACTTTTATAAACGCCATCGCCCAATTTATCAGCTCTTATATCTTATCTATAAAATACTTTTCTATACTTATATAAATTGTTTAAATTAAAATTAACAAATTTATTGAAATTTACTTATAAAATCAATGAGGGTTGATTTTAATTCTTATCACCATAAAAATTTGCATAAACACAGTAGGTATAAATTTTTTATTCCTTTTGTGTATTTATCACGCCTCAGGAAATATAATTATTTTTTCATATTACAATTGACAATGATTTAAAAATATATATTTATATTTTAATTACCAAAACGTAAAAAAATTGATATATATATATATATATATATATATATATATAAACATATCTCAAAATGCTGACTTCGAATAATTTTTATAAGGAAATATGAGAATTATTTTTGCTGAAAGGTCAATTATCAAACTCAATTCGTTAAGTGATGATCAATGATAATTTTATTATTTTTGTAATATTTGAATCTCACCAAACCAAACTAATTTAATTTAATTATTAAGAAAAAAAATCTAGTTTTAGTATTTAAATGATATATACTAATTAATAAAATAATGGTAAAATTTCAGGTTATATAAATTATTTTAAAATTGTTTAGTATAAATAAGAAATGAGTTTACATGTGAATTACCATAGATTATAGATCATGATTGGTATGTATTATTTATGTAAATCACTAAACGATGAAAATCTATAAAATATGATTTCGACTAACTGATTATTAAAAACGAAATAATATTGAAAATTTTTTATACGATTCGAGACTTGATACGTGTCATCACTCAGTAGTTCTAAAAATAATTACAATGTTATATAATATATAGAAAAAATATAATTATAGAATTTAAAATTACATTAAAATATGTATTTTCAAGTTTTCAAGTTTGTCTATGTAACTTTTTGTAATTATTTTAGAACTACAGAATAATGACACGAAAGGTCGAAAGGTGTAAATAATTTTTTTTTTAATAATAATTTGCTTTTTAATTGGCGAATTGGCTGCTATATATATCAAATATTTTTCAACCACAAGAAAATAATCAAGACATTTTAAAATATAGAGATTTCTGATAGCTTATTAAAAATAGAAAAAAAAAATATTTTGTTTGACAAAATTGGGAATTTTTGAGCTATTAACAAAAATTGTTTATTTTTTAATTTCAATAAAATTGAAGAATTTGCTATATCATTTATTAACGAAATTTTATTATCTTTGGCTAAATAATAATAATATTTTGTTTACGAACTTTAGCAAACCTCTTGATAAAAGTTTCTTCATACGTCTGTAAATCATTGCAGAAAAACTTTAGGTTCAAACGTGTTTACAAATAGTTAAATGAAGGTTGTACGGGTCAATTTTAATTACGAAAATAATAGTGTAAGTTTTGTAAATATGCTTCCACTGATCACGTATTGCTAATAATTCTCAAATATAATTGTTAAAAGATATATATATATATATATATATATATATATATATATAAATATATATATTAGGGTGATCCTTAATATGGACATTTTCGAATTTCCTTGCTCACAAGGTCTCGAATGGTTCCAAATTGATAAAAAACAATTTTCTAAAAGTTTTAGCTCTTAATATTAACTTTTAGATAGTGCGCAATTCAATCAAACTTCGTATGGAAATAGCATGGAAAAAATTTGAAAATTAAAAAAAAAAATTATAGGTATAACTTAGCGACAAAAAAATTAGAAGTGAAAATTTGTGTATTTTTTATTGAAAATTCGACACTCAGCAAAATTTTGAAAATTTTTTCATCCTATTTCCATACAAATCTTTGATTAAATTGCGCTATATATATATATATATATATATATATATATATAAATTTATTTAAATTCTACCCATTTTCTTTTTTTGCATAAAACGTATTTAACTCAACATTGTGCCTAACTTTGTATATACAAAATGCATTAAAACAATAAGTAATTTGATTACGTAGAATTCAAGGTAGAATACAATTCGTTCAAAGGTCAACAATGAATTTGTCATATTCAGAAGTATACACATTACAAATTAATCTATTACATGTTTAATTTTCAATGAACTTTGCTTTGATGACTAAATGAGAGAATTAGTAAACGCACGTACCATACATGAGCACCATTGCTGATATATCAGTCAACACAATCACACTTCGTTTTCTGAAAAAAGGAGATAAAATATTTGTTATTTTTGTACAGTTTCAGGATTCATATTTGTTTCGATAATTGTTTTTAAAAATAATCTTTTTGACAATTCCCGATAAAGAGGACATGATATCCCATGTCAAGTAGGGTTGGGGACAAATATAATTAATTTAATCCATAAAATATTCATTATTAACTGTATAGCAAAAACGTATATTAAACATCTTAAATTGATCATGATTATCTAATTTTGGAATTTATCACTTTTATTATCATGCATTAGATTGTTTGTTATCAATAAATACAATTAAAGAGAATGTTTAAGTATTTTTCAAATTCCGATTGATACGATCAAATTCTTAAGAAAGTCTAATCAAGAGATCCATAAAAAATGAATTTAATTGTGACAAGAATATTTATTATATGAAAGATTAACTATAAATCCAGGGACGCAGTCACCGCCGTATCAGCCGTATCTTTTTTTTATTTTTGTGAATTTTTTTATTTCACAAAAAAAGTATTTGAAATCACTAATCATATTTCTATAACCTCACAGTGTGCAAATGACTAATAGAAATATATAGTATTTTATTTAGTCTTTTTCGAATAGATTGTGCGAATTATGAAAGAATCTAGCGTCATATGGAACCTATCCTAAAAATTTCAGCAGCACATTTTTCCAAGCGGCAGTCGTCGTCAAATTGTTTTGAAGTAAGTGAAAAGGGCACCTCTGTCTTAGGACTTATAAGTATTTGAGGAGACCTGAGTTTCTGTGCATTGAAGCTTTTATACCCTACACGAGATGAGGATTTTCTATCGTAACGAAAGCAATTAGTCCAGTGAATATTGGTCGTGTCAATATTAGTCTTGCCAATACTGGTCTGGCCGATATTGGTCTTGCCAATATTGGTCTTGCCGATATTGGTCTTGCCAATATTGGTCTGGTCAATATTGGTCTGGTCAATATTGGTCTTGCCATGCCAGGCCAACTTCAGGTTAAAACAGCTATTTATAATCTACTTAAAACTAATATAAATATATAATATATAGATATAAAAATATATCAGTATAGAATTATAGCCATTATCAGTGTACATATTGAATTTGAATTGTTTCTAGGAATTGTGGAAAAATGACAAAATATTTATTTCAATTAATTATATGAATTATTGCCCTTGGTGAAAACTACAAAAAAAAAATTGATACGAGGCCAATAAACGTTACGACCCCTCTGTAAATCTAGGTAATATTTTATAAGCGCTAATATAAAGATTTAAAGATTTGTACAAGTACATTGCTAAGTATAATTTTTAAAGCTATCATAAATTTTGCACAAGTATCAATATCTAAAACGAATCATTTTTTATGATCTGAAGTATCATTTTTTGTGTGTTTTTGCTCGTTATAATATTAATGAAATTTTTGTTTATTGTAAATACAATAATGGATAATGTAATAATAATAATAATACATAGGAGTGAGTGTGTGGGTATTTTGATTTTGTACATCTATTATACGAAAATATGTTTCTTTGGAAATAATATTTGAATAATCCTTGAAAAAAATAAAATAAATTATAGAAAAAAAACATAAAAACCATATTACAATTTCGAGATAGATTACAATTTTGTTAATTTAGTTTGAATATTGGTGGACAATTTTGATTTATGATTTATGGCCGGCTATCTAGACTTTTATTGTATGAAGATATTGAGAACCCTGTACTATGAAAATAGTCCAATAGTATAGTATTTATCTAGGAAGTTGACAAAAAACCAAAATTCAGAGCGGATGTCATCTACGCATCAATTGTGTAACTCATACACTATCATATATCTTGGCATGTCCTTGTTTATTAAATTCTCTAGATATCATGAATGTATTTATAGACATAATTTTTGAAATACTATAATAAGTATAGTATATCAAAATATTAAAGTAATAGAAATATTTAAAGCATTTATAATTAGCATGTGAAAGAAAATAGCAGATAAAATAAGTTCACTTCGCATAGCTATTATTATGATATTTTAAGAGGTTCGTTTTGCTCATCAACCCAAGTTTGATTTACAGAGAACTGAAAGCCGAAGCACAGGACCAGAATGCATGGAAGCAGAAGCTTGAAATAAAAAATTCATTAGAATGAAAAAGAGATTAATGTTAACAAAATGGTAATGAGAAAAATAAGCAAAAGATAGAAAGGAAATCATTGGTTTGTGGTGCTCTCATACCATAAACCTGCCTCGGAGCAGACTACTATTTACTATTATTATTATGATTTGGATATTAGATTATATAGGTGTTGAGATTGGATTATAAAGATGTCGAAAATGCCCCTGAATATATTATTCACAAATATACATTCGTGTTAAATTCTTGAAGCCAACTAAATTACACGGTTCATTGATCCATTGATCCACAACTTTTTATTGTGATCTCGATAAGGGCATTTTTTTTAGAAAATACAAGGCTTGATCATAAATGCGTATGATTATATTTTGAAAAGCCATAAGGTCAACTATAAATGCCTAAAGTAGAATAAAAATAAAAGCGATTATAAAAAACAAAACAGAAATAATCGTAGATTATTTCAATATTAACAATAGATTCGTTTGAAAAAATTAATTAATGTGGTCAAGACAAATATTATTAGATACTATTCATTTCTCACAAATTTGGTGCAAATATTTGAACTCGATTCGAATTATACAACTCGAATTATACGACTCGATTTCTATTTTTTGCACTCTTTGCTCTGCATCTCCAAAACAGCTGGTCCTGCCTTTGTCAAAAACTAATTAACACATCTTCCTATCAGTAGATATTGAATGTTTTTGAATCATTCAAATCGGTTGATCCGTGCGGCCGAAAACGTGGACGAAAAATTGTATCCATGCATACAAACATACATACACCCACGCATCGATTTTTTTGAGGCATGCCAAAATGTTCAAAACGTGAAAAAATGTAAAAAAAATCAATTTCGATTTTTGGACGATTACAATAGCTTATCCTTAACTTAAAGAAGTTAATAATTCTGAATATTCTCTTAAGATCGGTATGTAAAATTACAATAAAATATCCATAAAAAATTTTACTCCATTCCAATACAATATTACAATATGTATATGATTTAAAAATTTATTCCGCGCCATCTGTCAATGCATTGTATCACAGCAGTAAAACAAAAGAGTGCTAAATAACAATCAATATGTAATACATTGTTTATTTTTGATACAAATGTCTCAATTATATTTTTATATTTTCAAAGTTCTATTTTTATATAAAATAATATTAATTGTTTCTTTCACGGATTGATGTTCAAGTAAGTTTTTCTATTCTTAATATCTTAATATCTTAGTTTTTAATAAATTATTTATAGTTAAAATTTTTTGACGTTTTTTTATTAGAAAATAAAGTGGTTATTAGTTTCATTAGCGATTTTGCATTAATTATAATTGACATATATATATATATATATATATATATATATATATATATATATATATATATTAGGGTGGTCCTTAATATGGATATTTTCGAATTTTCTTGCTCCTAAGGGCTCAAATGGTTCCAAATTGATAAAAAAAAATTCTATGAAAGTTTTAGCTTTTAATATTGTCTTTTAGATGGAATGCAATTCCATCAAAATTTTGTATGGAAATAAGATGAAAAAAATTTCAAAAATTTTGCAGAGCGTCAAATTTTCAATAAAAAATGACACGAATTTTCACTTTTAATTCATTTGTCGATAAGTTATATCTAAACATTTTTTTTTTAATTTTCAAAAATATTTTCATGCTATTTCCATACGAAGTTTGATTGAGTTGCGCTCTATCTAAAAGACAATATTAAGAGCTAAAGCTTTCAGAGAATTGTTTTTTATCAATTTGGAACCATTTCAGCCCTTAGGGGCAAGAAAATTCGAAAATCTCCATATTAAGGACCATCCTATATTCTTTTTATTACATAAATACATATTTCAATATATGATTTAAAAATTTATTGCCGGCCATCTGTCAATGAATTGTATCACAGCAGTAAAACAAAAGAATGCTGAATAACAATCAATATGTAATACATTGTTTATTTTTGTTACAAATTTCTCAATTATATTTTTATATTTTTAAAGTTCTATTTTTATATAAAATAATATTAATTGTTTCTTTCACGGATTGATGTTCAAGTAAGTTTTTCTATTCTTAATAACTTAGTTTTTAATAAATTATTTATAATCAAAAATTTTTGACGTTTTTTTTATTAGAAAATAAAGTGGTTATTAGTTTCATTAGCGGTTTTGCATTAATTATAATTGACGTATATATATACATATATATACATATATATATATATATATATATATATATATATATATATATATATTAGGGTGGTCCTTAATATGGACATTTTCGAATTTTCTTGCTCCCAAGGGCTCAAATGGTTCCAAATTGATAAAAAACAAATCTCTGAAAGTTTTAGCTTTTAATATTGTCTTCTAGATAGAGCGCAATTCCAAGTTTTGTATGGAAATAGCATGAAAAAATTTTCAAAAATTTTGCAGAGCGTCAAATTTTCAATAAAAAATGACACGAATTTTCACTTTTAATTCATTTGTCGCTAAGTTATACCTAAAAAATTTTTTTTAATTTTCAAAAATATTTCCATACGAAGTTTGATTGAATTGCGCACTATCTAAAAGTTAATATTAAAAGCTAAAACTTTCAGAGAATTGTTTTTTATCAATTTGGAACCATTTGAGCTCTTGGGAGCAAGAAAATTCGAAAATCTCCATATTAAGGACCATCCTATATATATATATATATATATATATATATATATATATATATATAATGAAGGAAATGTCTTTTGCAAATCATTTTTTATTACGTAAATACATATTACAATATATGATTTAAAAATTTATTGCCGGCCATCTGTGCTAAATAACAATCAATATGCAATACATAGTTCATTTTTGATACAAATTTTTCAATTATATTTTTATATTTTTAAAGTTCTAGTTCTATATAACATAATAATAATTGTTGCTTTCACGGACAGATGTTCTCAAGTAAGTATCTATTCTTAATAACTTAGTTTTTAATAAATTATTTCTAGTCAAAAATTGTTGAAGTTTTTTGGTTAGAAAATTAAGTGGTTATTAGTTTCATTAGCTTTTTTGCAATAATTATAACTGACGAGTATAGTCGTCACAGTGAATTGACAGCATTTTGTGTATTGGCGTATAAATTAGTGATCATTGGATATAAATTGCAATTTTTGAGAAAATACATATGTATATTCTTATATATGTACATATATATTTTAAATATTAAAATGTGTGGAATATTTCGTTGCTATGGTAATATAAAATAAGCATTCTACCTTAAAGAAAGTTGTGCGAACTTCCTAAAATATATAAATAATATTCTTAATTCATAAAGAAAGAGATTTAACTATTCAGATAACATTTGAACTGCAGATTTCAAATCTAAAATTTATGCTTTTTAACAAAAACGAATCTATGAAGTTACCAAATTTTATATTTAAACAAACTTTAAATTGTATTGAATTTAATTTATTAAACAAATTTTGTCCTAATTTGTGCTTTAAAAATGCATTTTATTTAATAGTTTTTAACGGTGATCAGTAACTGTCTAGAGCTTATTTATTTATTTAACTTGTGCATTTTTACTATTTTTTTTGTTAAAGAAACTACTATAAATAATAAAATAAATTATTGTTTTTTTTTCAGAATTTCCAAATGGCTCATTTTTTATTAGTACTTTTATTATTCAATAATCTGCTAACTTTACCTTACGGATATTTCATCAATGAAGATTTTTTTGATGAGGTGAGTTAAATCTAGCCAAATGTTAAACATAACTAGCTTTATTCAATTACATTGTTATATAAATAATGTTCTATTACTCTTGATGAATTTTGTAATGAAAAATCACTATTGTAATCTGAGTAATTTTTACCCTAGAACGGTATTGTGCATTTTAGTGCGGTAATGGTTTTCTAGGCATACGCCCTAATTTATGCATTTTACAACTTAACAAATGAAAGGTTCTTTCAGAAAATATAAAACTCTGGTTTAGTAACAAACAGTCTTTTTGTTTTATCAAAATTTCTATAACAAAAGTACCATCACCTCAGAAAAGCCATATAATTTTAGGCTTCAATATTAAATAGGACATTCATTCAGGTTTGCATATACGCCTCGGAGGCGTGCAGATACCGTTCTACAGTTAAAATAGAAAATTTAAATAATTAATTAACAATCAAGTAACTAGCTTTCTATCTATAATGTTATCCATGTTACCATTATAATAACTAAATGATAATAATTAATTCGTAATTTAATTAAAATTAATATAAATATAATATGAATCCTAGCCGAATGATACCCCACAACTGAAGCGTTCCATACAACACATAAGAGATGCATCAGATTCCTTTAAATGGACACGTGAAAAGGCTGAGGCCATCAATCCTGAGTGGGTTCCTGATGATTTCCCAATTCCTGATGTGTTGCGAGATTGGCCTGAATCTACCGAAAGCGAGATAAACATGGATGCAGACGAAAAAAAAATAAGACGTCAAGCACTCGAAGAAAAAGAACGAATAGACCAAGAATATGTTAGTAAAGATGTGGAACAATTTGACACGAATCCAAGCAGGGCACGATTACCGGCTGAATTGCTGGAAGATGAAGATTCAGAAGAAATTGACCACGCGAAATATGAGGAAAATCGGTGGGATCGAGTATTTTATGATGATTCGAAAGTAGTGCCAAGATTTGTTGATCCTATAGAGCCAGAAAGCGTCACACCGAAATTTGACTATTCTCATTCCTTTGGATTCGATGCCAATACCAGAACCCATATAAGTAAATATGACGTAAATAATCCAAATGAATTTATTATTGAAGACAATAATAATTTTGAAGATTTTAAAAAAGAAGATGATGAAGCCAGCGATCATAAGGCTAGTAATGAAGACAATAATCTTAATATTGAAGACAATAAAAATTGTGAATTTAATAACAATGAGAATGATGAAGTCAGTATTATTGATGATCATAAACCTAATATTGATTACACTTCTGAAAATGATCTGGTTACTTATAGTGACAACAGGAAGTCCGTAAAAGATCCTGGTGATTTTGATAATGGAGTTGTTGTCATCCTAAACAATATTGACAACACCAATGAACAAAATAGCATTATTAACAATAATATTTCTAATATGAATTTTGGTGAAATAAGTGGTGAAGATAAAAATATGGAGATCGTAAAAGTATCTAATGACTTTGATGATAGAACTGTTTCCGACATAAACGATATTAAAACTGATGAACAAAATAGCATTGGCAATAATAATATTTATGATATGAACGCTAATATTGAAATGCCGAACATGAACTCTGAAGATAAAGTTAATGGAACTTTTGATGAAGAGACTGCTGAATTCAGTGATATCGTGAACAGTGATGTTTCCAATAATGACGTAAACAATGATTCAAAGAAAAGTATCAAAGGTACATCGATTTATAATTTTGCCAATGTAAAAATTCATGATATATTAAATAAAATTCATAACAAGAGCAAAGAAGAAAATGATGTCAGTAATAATCACGAAAAAATCAATGATGGTGTTAATAATAGAAAAGGTAGCAATCGAGATTTTAAAAACGATATATACCATGATACGGATGATAAAAGTATGGCCTACAAACATCGTGAAAGAATTACTGCAAGTGCAAATGTATCAGATCGTTTACCACATGCTTATTTTGACAATAGATTCAAAGGCTTGGGTGGTAAAAATAACAAACATAAAACTCAACAAATAAGTGATTATACAAAAGATGATAGTGATAATGAAACTGTTTTTGATATCAAACAAGATGATGAAGACCATGTCTGGGCTAAAGATGAACATAACAAAAATTCAGATGAAGATGTTGAAAGTAGCAGCGACCACATCATGCAAAACGAAATGAAAGACTCCAATATTGAGAAACAGAATTTAAGTCGCAATAATAAATTTCGTTTGATTGATAATAAAGGTCAAATCCATAAAATGCCAACAAAGAATGGAAGAAAGATGATGAGCCGCACGAGGAAAATCATCAGAATGTAATAATAGTAGTAAGTGAGCCGAAAATTTTAAATAGCATAAATTTAGATAGCTTTAGATAACTTTTGTTAAATCTTACATTAAAAATAAATTGTAGTTATTATTTAATTCTGTTAAATCTTAAAGTAAAAAAATAGTACATTATTTTTAAACAGCACCAATGAACTGTATGGGGAAAGATATTTCAAAATATACAAGTCATATTATCACCACTTTTAGAAATAAGATCATTTGAAATTTATTTATTTTCTGTTACTTTTTTTCTCTATAACATCCAATAACGTTCACTTTCGTTCCACAAGCAACGATAATATAGAAATTAATTCGAAGGTGTCTTTTATTTTTTCATGATTGATTGGTTTCGCTTCGACCTCAGATTCATCTATCAACTCATTAAATGGATTTTATTATCATTGTAAAAAAACATTGTTTTTAATAAGCAAACAATCGTAAGCCATATGCAATTAAGTTCGTGCCACTTCGCGAACATCGGATTCTGAGTGTGTGTCAAGGCAGAAGTCACAAAACTCAGTCAATAATAGGAAAGTACGGCATTTGAGTTTTTCCTAAATAACCTTTAATAGCTTGACAAAAAAATCGAAACTCGAACAATAATAAGATAAACGATTTTAATAATGGTTGTGTATAGCTAAAAATGGTTCATTTATTTAAGCCTCAAATATTTTTGATACAGAATTTTATAAATCTTGATTTTTGAGATTTTTCTATTTTTAAAAAACGTAATTAAATATGAAAAAATAATTTATTATAATGTATTTTTAATAAATACCTTTACTTAAGTTAAATGTAATTTTTTTATGTCAAACCGAAATGAGGCGATAGTATTGGTATCATATCATAGTATATTCTTTTTGATTCTAGTATATACTTTTTGATAAACTATGAATTTAAACTTTTGAAAATAGATCGATTTTGAAAGACCTTTTGAAAAAAATTTACACAAATGTGTTGGCAAGTTTCATTTAATCAAAATTGTAAAGTGGAAAAATACTTGTTAGTTTTATGATAAAAATTAGGGAAAAAATTTAATCAAGACGAAGCATCACTCTCTTATATTTCTATATAAGATATATATTAAATAAACTAATATAACTAATAAATTTATAATAAATACTGTTAATTTTTGCTAGAACAAGATAGAAATGATTTTTTCAAAAAGTTTAGAACCTTTAACTAACAACTATTTATAACATTCCAACAATATCTAGTAAACATATTACTTCATAAATCACAAAATAATTAGATTTCATTGGCTTAATGAGCATAGAATAAAAACTAATATTATTGTATAGCTGCAATATTATTATATTTATGTAATTTAATGATATTGAAATTTCTTTGTTCATTACAATATAATTAATTGAATCTGTAAATAATTTAATTTCTATGACTAGATATGATTATGATTTAAAATATAATCAATAGAGCCAATAAAACTCTCAAATTATATACGTAATAATTATGTATAGTATTTTGTTGTTAGTTTTTTTGGTTGTGAGCACCGTTGTTTAGTTTACGAGATCTTAATATAATTTTTAAGTATACGTTATTTAATTGTATTATAATAAGTATTGTTAATTTCAAGTTAGATTCAACTGATTTTTTACCCTAGTATAAATGTAAACAACAAAAAATAGAAAATAAAAACGTGAATTAAGCAATTTTACAAGATCAAGATTATACACAGTGTCAACCCTGTAAAAAATGTACTCATGAATTTATATTTTGCATTGGTTGAATAATGTAAGTGTTATTTAAAAAGCTAACGATTTCGTAAAATTCTTTTAAAACAAAAAAATTAGACATTAGATTTGTTTGCCTTCTGGCCGTCCCATTTACCACGACTTTCGGAGGAAAAGAACTAGGTGACATTTTTTTGAGAAACAGCAAAAAAAACTTTTTGACAATGATTAATTAGCTGGGACATATAATGACCATAGTTTTATTGGGAGAAGGATGAGGAGAAAGATGAAACTGTTCAAATGTCATACATATATGTACCTTGTCAAAATTATTTGTATATATTAGGTTGTCAAATATCTCCCTTACGCCTTTTTGTATTATAAACCAAGAGCAAAAAAGCGGAAGGGAGATATTTGACAACCTAATACAAAATTGACAGTTTTATATTTAAATTATTAGGTCTTGGTGTAAATTTTGAGTGATTGAAAATTATATTTATAATACACATTCTTTTTATAAAAAAAAGTGAAGGAATATTAGGTATGTATCAGATGTTGTGATATAATTGGTTTGGTTTTCACAATTAATTGCTCAAATTCAAATTGGACTTTTGTGCTTTGCTCTACCTCATATACCGAAAGGTTTAACTTTTTAAATATTTTAAGAATTATTTTCATAGAAATTTACGAAAGCCATATAAGTGAAAGTACCCAATGTATTATTTCTAAAAAAATATTAGAATAAGTTTTATATAAAAAATATTAGAATAAGTTTTATATAAAAATATTTTGCAATAATAAACTAATATTAAATAATAAAACTCAATCACATACTATTAGTAAAGAACGGATTTAGAGCAGAAAATCTTATATAAGTTAATTGGCACAGAGTGGAGTAAAAAGATGTTGTGTTTGTACGAATATACACTATTAATAAAAACTTAAATATTTTATGAAGTAATAGTATATTTCACCTCTAACAAAAAACCTGTTACAAAAAAATTAGTATATAAAGACGACTTTTTGATTTGTACACGTGTAACAATACGTTTCGGAAATGTTGCGATACTCCAATTATAAAAGCGACTGTGGGGTTATCTTTTAATAGAGTTTGGTAATAAAAAAGAACTATATTGTAGATAGTAAGAACAAACAATGAAATGTCTCCTAATCACATCGTTCTATTAGTAATAAGCAGTGTTCAATACAGCTTATAAAAATGCAATAGTTCTAATTTATGTGAAATATATCTCAATAATAAATAAAACTAGTGGGGTGAGTGGCATCGTGCCTTAAGGCAAATTGCTGGAACTTCCCGTATCGTAACGACATGTTCGAGGAATTTTAAATGTTTTCAAATAGATTATTATAAATATTGTAACATTGTCTAATATTTATAAGAATTATATAAACTGAATTGCAAAGTTGAAATTATTTGTTTAAAGTATATTACAACTATAGTCAGAATTAAAAATAAAATCTGACTTATTTTTGATATACAAACAAAAATTTTTTTTCCGAAATTAATTATGTTGTTAAAACAAGCAGATTTTTTTTTGAATCATTCAAATCGGACTTCTAGTTCTCTCCAAAACTGCAATTTTTTGCACATTTAGCCCTGTATCTACAAAACCGCTGGACTTGCCTTTGCGAAAAACTAATCACTCCTTTTCGCCGTCATTACGAATTGAATCATTCAAATCGGATGCTCCGATCTCTCAAAAACTCGATTTCTATCTTCTGCACTCTTTGCTCCTTATAAGAAAAAAAAAGATTTTTGAACGATTACAATAACTTATACCTTACGGGAAGTTAAAAATAATAAAAAATAGGATACAACAGAAAACAATAACAATAATAGTAACCGGGCTCAAATTACAAGTCTTGATATACGGAACTCTATATGAAAACAATTCAGTATATTCAGCAAAAATCCGAGTCATCTTGGCGTCATTAGATGACATGTTTACAAGGAAGCTTCGTGTGTCGGTAAACGCTATGCCGTGAATAGCTATCATTAAAAGTGGTATTAAACATACTGATATGTGCTTATAATATTTGTATTATTACCACGTCCGGTAAAAACTGTCCATGGCGAACCGAAAGGTAAATTCATCAAAGCCATATGATGCACGGAAAGCAGAATATATTGGCATGGAATTAATGAATGAGCATGAAGAGGCAAAAAACACAAATCAAAACAATTTGACAATGAATTAATAGACGAAATTGAATGATAGTGAATTTGATTATGGATCAATTGTGATGTAATAATAGGTTTGAAACACGAATTTGTGTAGTTTATTTCCTTAAACTGATTGAAGTTGAAATGTTGCTCAAAAACAACTCTTTGAACACGTGTATTGTGTCGAATGTTTACTTATAGTTCAATTATTATTTTTTTTTTGAAATTATGTTGATAAATTTATAACATACATTGTATTCATATAAAAAGATAGTCATATATAAAATTAAACTTTGTTATGTTTTTTTTTATAAAATCAATAAATGACATAATATGTTAATATTAGAGTATATTAAAATATATATTAGGGTGGTCATTAACATGGACATTTTCGAATTTTCTTGCTCCCAAAGGCTCAAATGGTTCCAAATTGATAAAAAACAATTCTCTGAAAGTTTTAGATCTTAATATTAACTTTTAGATAGTGCGCAATTCAATCAAACTTTGTATGGAAATAGCATGGAAAAATTCAAAAATTAAAAAAAAAAAATTAGGTATAACTTAGTGACAAATAAATTAAAAGTGATAATTCGTGTAATTTTTTATTAATAATTCGACGCTCTGCCGAATTTTTGAAAATTTTTTCATGCTATTTCCATACAAAACTTTGATTAAATTGCGTCCCAGAACTCAACGTCAAGCCCAAACGTTACACTATCATGAAATAAATTATGGAAAAGAATTATCCTATACAGTTTGAGAATTATTAGCTTTAAAGTGTTATTTTCAAAAGTGACTATTTCTTGGTTATTGAGTTAAATTTTTAATATTTTTGTTTATTAACTTCCCGTAGGGTAAGTTATTGTAATGGGCCGAAAATCGGAATTGAAAATTTTTACATTTCTCGACGTTTTGAAGGTTTCTGAACATTTTGGCATACCTCAGAAAAAATGTGTGTGTGTGTGTGTGTGTGTGTGTGTGTGTGTGTATGTATGTATGGATACAAATTTTCGCCCACGTTTTCGGGCGTACGGATCAACCGATTTGAATGGTTTAAAAAACATTAGATTCCTATTAATAAGGAGAAGAGCTGATTAGTTTTTGGCAAAGACAGG